CTTCAAAATATATGATCCTTCATCACATTTACAAAGAACTAAATTTATTATTGTATATTTTTATCAATTTGAGAGACTTTTGATTCGTGATTTTGATCTATTTCTATGAAATTGGGTTCGTGAAAAATGAAAATTGATTCGTGATTCACGAATCACGAACCGTTATTTCGAACCCTGAACAGTGTGCTTTAAGCCACAAACCATGGTTAGATGGTATGCCAAAAACAGGCGTATTTTATAGCCACATTCAAACCGATATATGTAGATGTATACAGTATAGTTTAAAGAAAGTATCCAGCAGTAAAGCTGATGACAACCAGCACTCGGACGTTTGAAAGGCCTGCATGGGACGTCTTGGTCAAATTAACCATACCACAGTAGGAATAAGGTTACAATAACCAGGACATTGAAGCAAGCGATATGAAGTTAACCCAAATATTGCAACTCTACGTGAACCAGGGAACTTTTAACCCGAGCGTTTATTTATCTTTGCATATGTACGTACCACTATTGAAAGCGAACAGCAAGTCAACAATCCATTGATGTTCCGAACTTTTAATTGAATCTAGTATAGGATGGGCAAGCTAAAAAAACAGAGCGGAAAGTCACCATTATTTTCTACAGTTTCTCTTGAAGAAATAAACTGTTGATTGCAATCTTGCCCAATGCAATGGCTTCGTTTCCATGACGTTATTTTCTCGTACACAATATTTTCCTGAGAAATATATTCGTCCAGAAGACATAGGGATATACAGTAGCGTCTTTAATGCTACAACAGACAAACATAGACCATGCCTGTATATTTAGTTTTTTTTGCAGATAGCCAAAATTTTTTCAGTTAGCCCTCGCTTCGCTTGAAGCTTGCAAATTGCGACAGGGGACGAGGCACCGAAGAAATTTTCTTGAGTTAAGTTTCATATTGTCAAAATTTGATTGTTCACTAATTTGCTCAAACTCAATTGGTCAAAAATTTTCATCTATCAAGCCGAAAACAGAGTTCTGGCTTTTGAAAAGGGAGCTCTAGCTTTTGAAAAGGTAGTTCTGGGATTTCAAAACGGAGTTCTGCCAGTTCTGGCATTTGAAAACGGAGTTTTGGTATTTGAAAACGGAGTTTTGGCATTTGGAAACGGAGCTCTGGCATTTGAAAACAGAGTTCTGGCATTTGAAAACTGAGTTCTCGCATTTGAAAACGTACTTCTGGCATTTGAAAACGTACTTCTGGCATTTGAAAACGTACTTCTGGCATTTGAAAACGTACTTCTGGCATTTGAAAACGGAGTTTTGGCATTTGAAAAGGGAGTTCCGGCATATAAAAACTGAGTTCTGGCATTTGAAAACGGAGTTTTGGCATTTGAAAAGGGAGTTCTGGCATTTGGAAACTGAGTTTTGGCATTTGAAAACGGAGTTCTAGCTTTTGAAAACGGAGTTCTTGCATT